GAGAGTGGTTTAGCCACGCGAGAGAGAGGGAGATAGGTGAGAGAGCGAAATATATGCATACATATATACATACATATACATATATATATATATACATGCATACATACATACATACATACATACATATGTATACATATGTATATACAGAGAGAGATATATATATATACATACATACATACATACATATGTATACATATGCATATACAGATATATATATATATACATTAACATCTATATATAAATATATTATATACATTGGTAAAATATATCACACACTTATATTAACCTAACTGTATATACATAATTATACATATATCCGGACAATGCCGCCACTCTCTCCTCTCTCCACTGGGACTCTCCGATCTAAACCATTGATGCTGAGCGGCTGCCAATTGGATGGTACTGGCACCTCGTCCCAATGGTGATCATCGAAAGAGCTGTCACGTGCATGTGTGAAGGCCTGACAGAAGGTTTGTGCCAAACAAGGCGCAACATTCGTCATTGATTCATTCGAGCGGGTATCCTTTGGTAGCCAAAGAATCAAATTCAGTTCACTTCCATATTCTTCCTGATGTATCCAAACGGTAAGCCCAACGATAAAGCCCCCAACTGGGGACGCTTTGTAAACAAGTATCACAGTTTTACTTTGCAAACAAGCATCACAGTTTATCATGCTTTCCCCACATCATGGAACCATCAAATCTGTCAGCTGGATCCATGTCATGACCCTCCTGGCGCTCCTGGTACCCACTATTGGGCCAAAAATTAGAAAGATTGGAACTGGCCCAAACAACTTTGCATCTATACGTGTAGGCATATTGCATTTTACTCCTAAAAATGTGCAGGGGAGAAAACAAGAAACATATATTGACACATTATGTCAGATGACACAGGCACGCATAAATCAGCATAATTACATGGGTCACTACATGTCTATGCTGTATGTGCGTGCTATAGCTGCCCATTTCTCCACTATGAATTCCAGCGTGGCTGGCCTCTGCAACTTTGGGATTTGGGAAGATCTGCAGGCGCCAACTGGCTGTCTTGCTCAGATCAACGACATTTGGGGAAGCGCCACCCTCACGGGCAACCTGCGCAGCGTGACCCTGGTCCTGGGATATTCTTGTTGGATGCAAACATGTCCTGGCCATCAGGTGATGAGGATGAGGATGAGGAGGATGACTATGACGATGACGATGACGATGACGATAACGATGACGATAACGATGACGGATGAGGATGAGGATGGGGATGGGGATGATGATGGTGATGATGAGGATGATGGTGATGATGATGCTGACGGTGGTGATGATGATGATGATGATGCTGAGGCTGATGATGATGGTGATGATGATGATGATGATGAATTAATGATGATGATGATGATGATGCTGATGCTGACGGTGGTGATGATGATGATGATGCTGAGGCTGATGATGATGGTGATGATGGTGATGATGATGATGATGATAGTGATTGAATGATGATTGAATGATGATTGAATGATGATTGAATGATGATGATGATGATAGTGATTGAATGATGATTGAATGCTGATGATGATGATGGTGATGATTGAATGATGATGATGATCATGATGATGATGATGATGGTGATGGTGATGGTGATGGTGATTGCTATGAGGGCTATGATTGCTATGATTGCCGTGGTTATGGTGATGATGATGATGATGACGACGATGATGACGATGATGACGACGATGAGATAACGATGGTGATGATGATGATGATGATGGTGATGACCGTGATATCTCAACCGGGAAGCCTTTGCACTGGGAGCATATCTCAAAGGCGCGTGCGATGGCCTCGGAAGCAACAGCGTTTCGACTGGGCTCGAGGATGCTGGGCTTGTTTCTACTAGTACTGGGGAAAATGGGAAATATGATGACCGAAACAATCAGGACAGATCAGAAAAATGATCATAATATTGGGGGTTCACCCCTGTGTCATCATCCCAAACAAGGCAGTTCTCGGCGATTGAGGCGTTGGCAGCTTCCTGAGCGATCCGTGTCAGCGATCCGATATTGAAAGAAGAAAATGGCTGTCCCCGGCTGTCCCGACATGAAGCATGCCCCAATTTGCCACTATATTATTTATTGCAATGTAATACCGCATGGATATCAATAAACACCTCATGTTTCTCTCTCTAGTTGTTCAACAGACTCAAATGGGCTGCTGGACCCATGCACAATGTGCTCTGAGGGCAGCTCCCTTGTGCGAAAACATTAGGGTCTTCCCAAGGTTTTTGACGGAAGAAGCTCCATGGAAGCCAAATGATCCGTCTCATCACATTCACCTCAGAGGAGCAAACACGCCGCAGTTAAATGGCACCTCCGTCTAGCCTCCGGTGTCAGGAGTTCTGGTGAGTCACCGATTGTAGCAAGAGCAATCGCCACTTCCACTCTCTTCGATGGCAAAAGCCAAGGATGGCAATTGAAATTGCAGCGCCCACCAGTAGTGTCAGGAGCCTGGTGACATCG